TTTCCATCCTCTGGCTAAAGCTTTTTGTGCATCCACTGCTATTTCTGCCTCAAGAGACGTACAGTAGGAGTCTGGCTTAAACTTTTGCCGACTTTTCTTGGTTTTTCTGTTTTCTTCTTTCTGTCTTGATGTTTCCTCCTATGCTGCTCTGGCTTCTACCCGTGTCTTGGTCCTCAGCAGGGGCTAGATCTGATCTGCAGTGTTCTTCCCTGCTTCCGGATCATGGTTCTTCCTCTCTGACTTCTCTTTCTGTTCCTGGATCAAGATATTTCCACTCCCCACTTCTACTATGATGATGCCTTTAATGACCTTAGATCTTGAGTGACTTCTGCCTCTTGATGACCTTCTTCTTTTTTTGCATTTGTATCTGTCCTCACCATTTTCATATGAATTTAGTCACTCCCTTCCTCTTTGAGAAGAATGGTCTTTGTCATTATGTTCCTCAAATCTGTGTTTCTTAGAGGATTTTTTTTTTTTTTTTAGTTTCACGTCTTACTATTTTGCTGTCCGAGTCTGCCGCATCTTCGGTTTCTTCATGCGTTAGCCTACCCTTTGCTTCGGCTCTGGCTCCTGCACTTTCTTCTTACATTATCTGACTTTTATTTTCTTTCCCTCTTGATCATGATCTTGAATGGTGATATTTTGAGGTTCTAGGAGAAACAGATACATCCGACTCCTCTTTTTTGATCTTTATCTGGGGATATCTTTCCTGGAGCTATTCGATCTCATTCCATGTTACTAGCCTGTGTGAGATCCCCATTGTTATGGACTAAGTTGTGTCCCCCCCAGGTTTATATGTTGAGGCCCTAACCCTCCGTGTGACTATATTTAGAAATGGTGCTTTTACAGACATTATGGTTAGATGAGATCATAAGGGTGAGGCTCTGACCCCAACAGTTGGCATTGTTCTTATAAGAAGAGGAAGAGACACCTTCCATGTGCACCAAGGAAAGTCCCTTCAGAGACACAGTGAGACGGTGGCTCTTTGTGAGCCAGGAGGGGAGCCCTCATCGGGAACCAGTCCTGCCAGACCTTGATCTGGGACTCTGGCCTCTAACACTGAGAAAATAAATTTCTCTTTAAGCCACACAGCCTGTGGTGTTTTGTTATGGCAGCCCCAGGCGACTAATACGCCAATCTTCATGTCATTAACCCTCTTTAATAAAAACGGCGGCCGAGAAATATGGTCTGTCTTTGTTCTGGGCATCCTACTCCAGAGTCCCGGCTGCTGGGGCAGCACTTATGGACAATACCAGCCACCCAGAAGCTTCTCATAGACTGACTAAATCCGCTCCCGTGAGAGACGTGAGTGGCACAAAAGGAACCTGCCATTGCTTTTTTTAGTTTGCTTTTTACATTTAGTTCTGTAAAACCTGTAAGGTGCTCTTATGTCTGTACTGAGACAGGTCACTACCTTTAATTTTCCCCCGAAGGACAGCCGTGTCTCCTGGCACTGTTAACTAGTGCATGTTTTCCCCACCAATTTAAAATACCACGTTTGTCAAAAATTGTGTATTCTTGACATGAGAGGCCCCATGCACGATGAAGGGTCCCCACACCTTGCAGGGCAGGGAAGAGGAGCGCGTATGGATAATAGAGGCAGAGGGAGAGGGAGAGGATTCGGTGGCGCCAACCCCTGGAGGCCGCGTGAACGCGGTGCCGGTTGTGGGAGCTCGTCTTGGAAGCAGGCTGGCCACAGCAGGAAGCAGGGACACTCACAGACTGCTGTGGCTTTCATGGTTTTGGTCTTCCTAGAACATCTAAAAATATTACACACAAAATCAACTTTTTACTCTAATTTTCTCAAACTTCAAAACCCAGAGTGCCCAGGACGTGTCCCCGTGCTTCACTGGATTTCTCAACAGTGGCTTTATAGCGCCGCTTGTCTGAAATTCTTGGAGTTTAGAATTCAAGACCATGGTAGATTTTATCATGATTTGCTTTTGAACTTGGTCTGTTGAAGTTCACAGAAAGTGGCAAACTTGTTAGAGAATTCATTTTTGTTCAGAATTGGATAGAATTCTAGAGCCAGCATTGTTCAGCATTAAGTCAAAAGCCCACCTTTGCTTTTTATAGAAGGTGTTACTTTATTTAAGAGATAGACATGATGCATTTTAATCTACCTTTATCTTAGTTTATAGCAGATTTTGTATGAATTTTAGCTTCTTAACAAATTTCCAAAACTAGATTATGCCTTTGACAATAATGAAAATTATTTACCACTTCTTGGGGAGAAGGATGTATTTTCTTATACACTGGTATATGTTTCAGTATTTTATATTCTGTCCCATTTTTTTAAATGTTTATTTTTGAGAGAGAGAGAGCGAGCATGAGCAGGTGAGGGACAGAGAGAGAGGGAGACCGAAGATCTGAAGCCGGCCCCATGCTGTCTGCACAGAGCCCAATATGGGGCTCGAACCCTCAAATCCTGAGATCATGACCTGAGCCAAAGTTAGGGACTTAGCCAACTGAGCCACCCAGATGCCCCTATATTCTGTCCCATTGATCCATACTTTTGTTTCTACCTTAGTTTTATACTATTTTAATGACCAAAGTTTTGCAGTGAATTTTTTAAATTTTACTTATTTTGAGAGAGAGAGAGAATGAGAACAAGTGGGGGAGGGTCAGAGAAAAGGAGAGACAGAATCCCAAGCAGGCTCTGCACTACTAGTGCAGGGCCTGACGTGGGGCTTGAACTCATGAACTGTTGAGATTATGACCTGAGTCAAGATCAAGAGTAAGATTAACTGACTGTGCCACCCAGGTGCCCCTGCAGTGAATTTTGATACCTAGTAGGACTAGTCATTCCTTATCATCGTCGTTTTTCTAAACATCTTGGCAGAGTATTTTCACATTTTATTTTCTATTAAGAACTTGAGACTGTTTCATTTTTTTTTTTTTAAGTCCTCCTGAGACCTTCCATGCTTCCAAGTTCATTTTTTTCCTTGAAAACTAAGGCCATATATGTATATATACACACAGGGACAGGAGAGGAAACACTAGCAAGAAACTTCTCGAAAGGAGCAAAGAATATGGATGTTTGGTAATTGACTTGGCAAGTCCAAGGACGCCACATCCTGGGCCAGCAGTAGGAGCTGATGGGCAAACTGCTACATGCTGCGGGTGCCTCACCCGGCCCAGAGCGGGCAGCATCGTGCTGGGTGTAGTGTGGAGGGGGCAGGAAAAGCTGTCTGAGAACAGTCAGATCCCTGAGTCCTTCCTTTCCCAGCTCCAGTTTTCCGGTTTGGGGGCCACCAGAGAGTTGCCGGCGCAAGTCAGGGCGGTGAAATGAATGTGTGCCTTGTGAATGTTGTATGCTAACTTCCTAGCCCTTTCCCGCCACTCAGCTCCCGAGTTTCAGGTAGCCAGTCTTACAGCCTGTAGGCTGGAGATTGTCACATTTGTCTGGGAAATCTGATCAATCTGAGGGGACAGAGTAAGAAAGCCTAAGTGGATGAAGGGGAGGATCCCCAACAAGTAGCTATGATTGCAGAACTGCCAATCGGCCTTTTATTCTTAGGAATAAAAAAACAAAGGTAATCAGTGATCTGAGGAAAGCCTCTAACATGGAAGATAGAGACTAAAACCGACAGACTCTAAAAGGCAACGTAAGGTAAATAGAGCCCATACAAAGAAAGGAAAACAGTAAAATGAGCAAACCCCTGTCTTGAAGCCACAGGGAAATCAAACAAATAAAAACAGGCTGCTAAATCAAGAAACACAGAACAAAATGATCTCTTAGAAATTAAAGATCTGAGCGAAAACTGGAAGAGAAAAGATAAGAGCATAAGGAGGTCCAGCACCTCAGGAGAAGCAGCCCCAAAAAGGAAGATTAGGAACATGGAAGCGGGGAAATTCTCAGCCAAATTACTTGATACAGTTTTCCCAACCTGAAGGTCTTGAGTTGCTGGATTGTAAGGGCTCACCGAGTGCCTAGCACCTGGATAGAAAACACGCCCTAATTCAAGAATGTTGCCCTTGCTGGGAAATATTCAGCCTCTGATAAAAATGTAGTGCCGTTACGAAATTAGCATACGTGTTTTTTGGCACACATGTATGCATTTCTGTTGGGGATGTACCTAGGGTAGAATTGCTGCTGTAATAGATAATGATGTCAAGTAGTTGTCCAAAGTGGTTAGAAACAGGATTTCCATTTATGTCACTCTATGCCCCGTCAGAAGCTGAAAATCACTCAAATGTCCCACCTGTAGGAGATGGATGAATATTTCTATGCGGTCCTCTATGGCAGCGAATATGAACAATGAATTTTATGACACACAGCAACATGGAGGAGCTCCCCAGCACCGTTGAATGAGAGAAGTCAGACAGAGTACTTGTTGTGTGACGCCATCTGTGTAAGTTCAAAGACAGGAGTCAGGATGGCGGCTACCTTTGGAGGGGCGTGAAGGGCGCGGCTAGAGCTGGTGATAGTCCACGCGGTATCCGGATGGTGGTCGGTTACGTGATATGTTCATTCTGAAAATTCACTAAGCCGTACTCTTCTCATCAGTACCCTTTCCTGTTATATTAAGAAGTTAAAAACCTAAAGTTGTGAGCTTGTTAACAATTCGTGGAAAGGCGTTTTGAAGTTCACGTTCACTGAAACGAGCAGGACAGACCTCTAGCAACACCGAAATAAGGAAATTTTGTTGTGGGTGCAGGTGGAGGCTTGGGGAAAGGACACAGTACTGCACATAGTTGGTATTTCAGTTTGTTATTTTTCTATGTAAAGTAGCATCTGCTAAAGGGGGAAAGAAAGCCCCACGTGTCTGCTGGTTGTATTGCTGTACTGAAAACAAGATTGACCTGGTCTAGACTGTGCCCTCTCAATTGGGATAGTAGGACGATTGCCTAATGCTGGTAGTTGTTTTGTTTATTCTGAAATTCATCATAAGGTAAACGGTATCACGACTGCCCCCCTTTACTTTCAGATGTGACATTGACGAAGATGTGACTGTGTTCTGATTTCTTTTCTTTTTCTGTTTCTCCTTGTTTCCTAGGTTTTTGTGGAGACCCTGGATAAGTGTTTTGAAAATGTTTGTGAGTTGGATTTGATCTTCCATATGGATAAGGTACCTTCTCTCCCTGAGCAGGGTTGCTAGAAAACTATCCGTCTCTACACCTTCCTGTTCTTTCTTGGGGCTTTTTACTCTGGGAGTAGTCCCAGAACATGTTTCATTTAATAACTTGAGTTTAATAATTTTGGGGGTATTTTGCTAAGATCTGCTATTAGTTTTAACACACAGGTGATTATTACCGGGCCTGTGTCATTGTCCATCTTGACCTGGACAGCCTTCTTGGTATAGGGCAGTGATGTCACGGTGATGACTGGCTGATGGCCACACCAAAGGTGAGAGAAATTGCTTTGTGTGGCTTGTGAAATGAGTTCCCTAGGCATAATCCAGTGACACAGTGAAGCTTTGGAAGAATCATGACACAGGGTCTTTGACCTAGCTAGCAGAGTTTATAATTTTCCCCAAGAGTAATAGAGTGACTCAGACATCAGTAATACAGTTTGAGGTCAGGTGATACTCAGTAGGGAAGCTGACTGTCAGGCAGAATTGAAGTACAAAGTACATGTCCTCAGACTTGTGCTGCCAGCATAATTTTGACATGGTCTGTGTCCTCATGTGCCAAATTCAAGGTGAGAGATAGCCAGCAAGGGAATAGAAACTGCCACATTTGTTTTATCCAGCGGGGCTCATGCCGTACCCAGTGCCGTTCACCTGGCGTATCTTAGTTGTGCTTGATCCTGGTTTCCTTCAGCGGGTTGTTGTCACTGTGATTCATGGCCCTTGGAGAGAGGGAATGATTTTTTATAAGACAGCTACTCAGTGCTAAGCCGTGATCCTTTATGAATTTATTTTTATCACAACGAAGTAGTTGTTTTCAGATCCCTCATCGCTGGCATTGCCATCTGGAGGCCTTTCGTGTCATTTTCCAGTAGGATCTTCAGTCTCTGTTCACTCTCCCAAGATTGTCGGATGACACTTTCCAGACAGATGTGGTGAGTGCATTCTTAAGGTTGGATGTTGGAACGGAGTGAAGTTTTCTCTCTCAACATCTGGCTTGGCTCCACAGCTCCAGGGGAAGCCTGGTACAAGAGAGTCACAGAACCCCACTCTTGCTGTAGATACTTGACTCGGTGCTCCCTGATAGGCTCACGAGGCCCCCGGAGCTCATTGGTGCTTTGGATGTGGTCACCCTCCCTTTTCATATGAAAGAATCTTAGACATTTCAGAGACCTCTTAGCCCCCTCTTTGCAAGCATTTAGAGCTGCTTTAAGCTTGTCAATTGTTAAAGGTGCCGCTATGTTGTCATTTCTCTTAAGGAGAACCACAGTTCAGATCCGTCTCCCATCTATACCAGTGGGTGTGGCTTTCAAAGGAAATAAAAAGTCATAAAAATGTTGTTCTTTCTCCTATGTCTTATCTTCAGATAGGTTCCATAAAGTAATTTGCTGCTGCTGCAGATTTCTTTTATAGTTGATAAAACTGTCTATTTTTAGTTGTTCACCTGACATCAGGAAATTGCTATCCCTGTTTCCTGAGATTTTGGAAAGTGCTGATGCAAGGGGTCAGCATCTCCCCCTCCTCCCTTGAAGAGTGTCTGAAGGTGTCTTCCAGCAGGTGACTTTCTTGTAGTGAGGTTTCAGGCTTGTCTTTGCCCTCAGGTAGAGCAGCTGCTAATTCAAGTTTATCTTCTGCATATAGGTGGAAATGGTCTTTTTACTCAAGTAGGCAAAGGACCTTGAACTCCATCCTTCGGAACTGAAGAAGTTTCTCTCTGCCTTAAGTCTCTTCACCTCTTCACCCCTTCTTCCTGCCTTAAAGGAAAGTGTGTTTCATTCCATATGTAGAGCCACATCCACTTCCTGTCTCTACCCAGCATACGCCGTGATCTCAGTGTCACCTCCTCTTTGAGGGGCCTTGATTTGTTCCTTCCCCTGTAATTCCAGTCTCACAGAGCATGGCTCTTCCTGCGTTTTAACTGTAGTCTCATCTCCATACACTTGCACTAAAGGTAAACATCTTGAGTGCGTGACTTACGCCCAGCCTCCCATTTCTACTTCATCTTTTCCCTTTCTGGAGCCCTGGGGCCTGCTTTTCACTCTTACCCAAAATTCACTGGTGATTTCCTGCTCTCATTTGCCAATATCACCTTCTGTCGTGTTCGTGCAGCATTTGAGGCTGTGGATCCTTCCATGGTGCGCTGCTGTCTTAATCCTTTTCCACCTTTGTTTCTGTTACATAGAACCTTTCTGGCTTCTCTCTTACTCTCTTCCCACCTTCTGTCACTAACTTAGGTTTGTCATCTCTTCCCTCGCTCTTCTCACTCTCCTGTTTGGATCCTAGATTGTATCCACTTTTCAGTGTAAATTATCATCTGTCTGGATAATTCCCAAACTTGTCATTTCTAATCCAGTGTGGCCTGAGTCCTGTCCCTGTCTTTCCCGCTACCAGATGGCACCTCTTCCTCAATTCATTCCAGCCGCTTCTTCCCCAGAGCCAGATGCGGCATGTGTCTCCCGAAAGCCGTTTCCTCTTCCAGCCTCCCTTTCCCAGTGCTGCCTCCATCCTCTGTCAAATACACTCAAAACCTCTCCTCCCTCTTCTTTGCCACCAGTAGCCAGTCAGTCACTAAAACCTGTTGCTTCTTCCTGTAGACTTCTTATATCTGTTCTCACCAGTTACTCACGTTTGGCCCACTTGTCTTTATATCTCTCTCTAGACGTACATACTTTTCTTCTTGACCCATCCTGACTTCTCATCCCTAAGTACTTCAGCAGGTATCTCCTCAGAACAAGGAAATTGTCTTATGTAACCCATTGTGCATAGTTCTCTAATTAACATAATTAATTGGGCCGCCTGGGTGGCTCAGTTGGTTGAGTGTCCAACTCTTGATTTTAGCTCAGGTCACGATCTCACGGTTCGTGAGTTCAAACCCTGTGTCAGGCTTTGCGCTGTCAGCACGGAGCCTGCTTGGGATTCTTTCTCTCCCTGTTCTCTCTTTGCCCCTGTCCTGCTTGTGCTCCCCCCCTCAAAATAAATAAACATTAAAAAAAATAATTAACTACAATGTAATTAACATATTTAAAATTTAACACTAATAAATACTATTATTCAGTATACAGTTCATATTTAAGTTCTTCACTTGTCCCACTTAACATCCTTTATATTTTTCAGTCAGATTCTGACTGTAGGTCAAGTGCTATCTTTAAGTTATAGTGCCTCTTGATGTCAGTTATGCCTGACAAGTTTTCTAACCTTATTTCCTCTTCTTTCTTATTGATCCTGCCCACTGGAATTATATATTTTTTCCTAAACCACCCTTTAGACTAACTGCTCCCTTGAGCATAGACCATTTTTGGTCACCTTGACCTCCTAACCAGGCATTCACGGCTGTCCACAGTTGTCCCTTTTCTATCTTAGTCTTCCTTACCAGTACTTCTTGCGGGATACCCCTACTGCAGCAGACTGGACCAGTCTTAGTCACGTTGTAATTCCTGCTCAGAGCCTCGGCCTGAATTGCCTTTCACATCTTTTTGTAACTGAATCCAGCCTGTCATTCAGGCTCAGCTCAAATCCTACCACCCTAGTAAACTTGACCTCATCACCTTGGCCCATCATCATCTCTGTGGGCCATTTATAGTGTTGTTTATGGCATTATGTGCCTTGGTTTATGTAAGTTTGTGCGTGTTCCCTACTTGATTAGACCGTCCTTATCTTTGTGTTTGTCCTTGTCTCCCTCACTGAACCCAGCGTGGTACCTGTTGCTGAGTGAGGTGGTCTTCACGTGAGCATCACCAAAGAGTTCCTAGGTAACTAGACTCGTGAGGCTGCTCATGCCTTAAACTGCCGCAGGCTGGGTGAAGTCTGATTTCACGGTCTCTGGGGGTAGTCTTCAATCCAGACCGTGCCATATGGAGCTTATCTTGCCAGGGGCGATTGGTTCCCTGTGGCATTGGAGACCCCCAGCCCCAGCTCGGTGTCACGATTGAGTTAGGTATCGATGTTCATTGCGGTGAATTGAGTTTTGCTCAAAGAAAACCATGTGGGCAGCCTAACGTTTTGATCTACCAGTGCCTCACCACCGAAGCTGGATTGGGCTCTCAGTTGGGGCGCTCAGCGTTCGGTCATCAGAGTCACAATTCAGTGGCTGTATCAAGGGAATTATCCATCCTTTTTATAGATTTCAGTTTGTAACGGGCAGTCTCAGCACAGTTGCAACATATGCTTTGGGGCGGGTCTGAGGCCAAGAAACCTCATAGTATGGAATTTAAAACTCTCTGCTAAGTATAGGCTGCTGACATGGGAAAATGCTGAGGGCTGAAAATTGGAATGAACTGGTGAGCCCAACATGAAAGGATCATAAATGTAATAATGGATAGTGCTTATTAAATGGCCCTTCTGAGGACAGAGCTGTGATAACAGAGCTCGTTAAGGCCCTCCACACCCTAGTGACGTTAAGGCCCTCCACACCCTAGTGACACTGAAGCTGGTATCCTGATTGCTTGTCCCCAGGAACGCAAGAAAGAGTAAGGGACACATATTTTGTGTGTTTTTAGTGATGAAGGACTTGCGGTTTGGGCACAGAAGAAGAAGACATTCTGTTTGCGTTTTAGTGCTTGAGAACATGCCAGTTGGCGTGCTGACCATGCCTGGCTACCTGTTGCTTTCTGGATATGCCCAAGAGAGAAGAGGGGGAGCCTAGGCCAGCCTTTTGTTTCATCGTATCCTGAGCCCTTCCCTGCTGATGCTTGATAAGAATTTTGTGGCAGAATATTTTTCAGAAGCGCAGTATCTTATCCTTTCAGAACAACGGACAGACTAGCAGTGATGATTTTTAAAATCTTTAACTTCACTATACTTTGTTTAAAACAAACAAAGAAAAGCTAAGACTGCGCCAAACTACACTTAACATCTGCTGCAGTACACATTCTCACTTTCTTTACCCGAACTTGCACTGCCTTGGTGCATTGTGGTCTCATCGGTGGTCTCATTGTCGGCCGCTTGAAATTACAGAGAGCCTTCTTCCTCTGTTTAATCATTCCTTATTAATGGTTAAGGGC